TATCAAGAAAATCGTTACTAAAATTGATAAAAATGCACAAACTTTAATCTTTTCAACAGAGGTCTCATAATGTCTCTAGTTCTTAAGGTTACGCATAGAACAACTAAAAAAGATCCTAAGCTAGAATTGATGAATCTTACCATTTTGTTTGCTTCCTAACACTAACGTGTACTGCACGCTGTGACCACTCAAACTGATCCCATTCACTGGTCCACCCATCATAGTGAAAAAGCATAATTTGAAAATCCTCAGAGAACTACAATAATATATCAAAAGAAATCTTAGTATTAGGAAACCCTATGATAATCATATTTAGATGTATAGCAACGAAATTCAAACCAGCATAACCTTCTTCACTGCTGCATCAATATTGTTCTTTTGCTCCAAACCAACTGTAAAAGTTACTAGGTACTTGGGCTTCCGTTTCAGATCCTGCAATTTCCAAAGCAATCTTATGAGCATACTCCAGTGTTACCTGCATATATTTGACAAGTGATTACATGGTTGGTTTAATGAATGGTTTTCTATTTCCATTTCACAAGTTTTATCAGGGTGTGTTTGATTGGCTTTATTTTTCATGGAAAATGTTATTTTTCCACCTAAATTCCTACTTTTGGGATGTTTGATTGGCATTTCATGGGAAATATTTTTCAAAAGTTGATCACGTGACCATATTTTCCTAAAAGATAAGGAAAACATTTTATTTTCTAGGCAATTCACGCCCTCTCTTCATCTACCCGCACTCTCTCTCTCTCATCTACCAACTAAAGAAGGAAAAGTACAACATTTTCTAGATTAAAAATTTAGCTAATCAAACATATTTAATTGACAATTTCCATACAAATAAATTCGAGTCAATATTTCCTTTCTATGCTATGCTTGCAATCAAACATGCCCTTATAGTATTTAGTAAATGGATAAAGCTAACGGTTCATAATTTGGTGTGCCGAAGGGTGTACACCCTCTCACATGAGGATGGGACCCACGTGAATAAAATATTCGAGTGGACCCCACCATGTGAGAGGGTCTACACCCTTCGGTACACCAAATTATGTACCCCTAGCAAAACTCTTTATTAAATAGTCCTACTGGTGCAGAAGGTTATATAGGCAGCAGTTCTGGTGTTTGGGCATTTTGTCCTGTTTTATAGGGAGTGGCCGTGACCCCTTTTCTTACTTGTTAGGGCTTTGAACGTTGTATTGTTCTCTATTTAATTGGTGCAAATTCTGATGTAAAGGCATGTAGAAAATTATCCAAGCAATTACATATAATTTCTTTCATGCTACTGAATATACAAATAACTTCATAATGTTATCATTCTTATTGTCACCCATGCATATCAGAAATGGAAGAGCAGAAAGGATAGCAAGATTGCGAGCAGACACCATACGCATAACAAAAGAAAAATAACATCTGAATGGGCAAATATAAGTTTGAGTATGACCACTGATCAAAGTATTGCAGTAGAGTTGTAGAAGTGAAATTGCCATTAGAATGAGGACTCTTTGACAAATAGAAACTATGGAAATCCCATTGCAAATACCAGTTCCACTTTTTTTAATCCTTACCTCACTAGGTTCACCCCATAATCTTCGAAGATAAAAATCTGACTCTGAAACTACAATTCCTGGTGGCAAAGACTCTGCACCACGAGGGTTTGTAGGAACATAGATCTGAGAAACCAAAAATCATGAATATATCACCAGGATAAGTTATATGAATCATAACCTTGCTATAGATGTTAAACCAAGAATAGCAAAGAATGAATCAATCATATAGACTTCTATCCATTATAATCATTTCTATTTGATAAAAAATGAAAAGAAGAGGGGCACTCATCAACTTCCACTAATTTTGAAACCAGCCACATAAATAAACCAATGGAATAATCATTACCGGTCTTCAAGGTAAAAGAAAGCCTCAAAGTTCCAAAGAAAGCAACATAAGAATTCAAAGGAAGCAAAAGAAGTACCTTAGGTGTTGAAGGAGTACTGCCAGAACCAAGATTTTCAGGAAAACTACGACTAGCAGAACTATGGCGATCATCATTAAAGGCTATATCAAAAGATGACATGAGGCTTGAAGGTAAACTAATCTGCCAAGAAAGAGATAATAAAATGAGCCAAATGGGTGTGACATGACCTCTCAAGTAAGTTTAACTCAGTTTCTGAGCCAATGTACCTTAGTTAAAGAAACTGATGGAAACGAAACACCTATAAAATATCCAAGCAGCATCCCCATAAAAGTTGTTATAATGAGTCGAGCACTATCATTCGACTTCCTAAACACCCCACTGCATTAAGAAGCAAACGAAAAAATAAGCACTTAAGAGTTTGGATTTATTTTTAAACTGTTAATCAGAATGCACAGTTCTACATACCTGCGGTGCAAGTTTCCCATTGTGATAAAAAGTTGCTCAACTCAAAGTTCACGCACTAGGCAGAAACCAATATCATGAGCTACAGGAATGCATCCACCACTTTCTCACAAGTGAATTTGCACCTCACCAAGTAATATTCCTGTCAACACACAATTGGGGAATAAATTAATGCCACATAACTAACCTCATATTCTAATTGGTCACGCACTAAGCAGAAACCAATATCATGAGCTACAGGAATGCATCCACCACTTTCGCAAAAGTGAATTTGCAACTCACCAAGTAATATTCCTGTCAACACACAATTGGGGAATAAATTAATGCCACATATCTAACCTCGTATTCTAATTGATCTTTAATAACTATTCTCAATGAACTTTTTTAAATACCCACATAAATTAAATAAGCGATGCATTCCAAATTCTTTACCAAATTCAAAATAATTTTTTTTTTTTTTTTTTTTACCTATTTTACCACTAGGCAAAGCTTAAGATGTCACATTGGAGAGGGAATAAATGGACCTAAATATAGAAAAGGGGTAAAATATCAAGTAAATTTCAAGTAATTGTTTCTACATTTCCAAATAGAAAATAAGATAATTCCTAATTCAATTGTCGATCCGAGAGGCACAACACCTGAAGAATAAGGCACTGGTAACTAGCGACATCAACAACAATTGAAAATAAAATTCAAGCAAAAATAAACAAATAATAAGCCTAAAGGGAAAAGAAATTAAGAAACACGAAATCGAAGCACCAAAATTCATAGGGAAAATATCTATCACAGTTTCGTTTCTGAAAGATCGATCAATACAAACGCACGAAAAATTGAAATAAAAATTAAAAAAATTAAGATGATATCAAAAATTTAAGATTGAAATTGATAGATACGGTCGAAGGGAGGAATCTAGGTTTTGAGAGGCTTACAAGATTGACCCGGTGATTGGTCGATAGAGGGAGAAAAGGAGAAGAGAGGACCGCCTTCGCTGGTTTGATCTTTTCTTTGTGCTAAAATTGAATTGAAAGAGCAAATGTGCTTTATACC